TGTTATCATTGGAGGTAGCACCCGTCATGTAATTCTACTAGTCTACTAGTGTTAGAATAGCTAGGTTCGAATATACTAGTTCAATTATAAGTTAAACTCGTTGAAGTTAGAATATGTATAGGATAGAATTAGAGTTGAACTTTATCATTGGCTCTCTCTTAAACAGAGAGCATCATAATATAACCATAACGACTACAATTAAACGTAAACACATAGGAAGATGATGACGGCGAGACCATAAGACTCGTAAAGACTAGATGCTATGTTATTGGGGAGAAGCGCTCATAATCAGAGCTTCAGAGATGTAGGCTTCGGTTCAATTTCATTAACAAATATCGTGGGCTCCCGTATTGTCTTCTGATGTGTCTTGGGTGATCGATGATTGAAACGATCGGAAAAGTTAGTCATTATTTCGCTATATCTACTAAATTTTATAACAACCAACGTGTACTACAGCTCTGCATTTTGCAGTGTTCAACTGTTCATCCCATACATGGTTTAAAGAAAAGAAGCTAGATAGAAACGAACGCATTGGGCATTGTGAATGAATCCAGTTTACATTTCCTTCCCCTATGAAGCACGTGCATTACATTGCTTGCAGAGCATAATTCCATGCATACTACATGATGCTGCACAAACATTCAGCTAGCATATGGGTAATTCACAGGACAAATGAACAATAGACAGCAACGCGATCGAACAGCGAAAGGAGAAGAATTTTTCTGGCAATGCACACACAAGACGCACGTACGGCGCGCGGCCCAGTAGTGTCGACTACTAGCGAATATTCTCGGAGACAAACGTTACAGAAGGCAAAGCAAAGCGAAGGCACACACACGAGCTAGTGGAGATTCAGGTGCAGGGCCATGTCACTTCGCAGCAATCGGCCGGGCAACAGGAGGGGCCGATGCATCCATGCATGCAACCACAAACAAAGCACACGCGCACGCACGCGCACACATGCTCTCGCAGGCGGCAGCTAGCTAGCTAGCGCATCGATGCTCCTATACTTGCAGCTCGCTGCCGCCGGTCGCGCCGTACGTGCTGCACGCACGCAGCACAATTGCACATATATATGGAGCTTTGCTTTGCTCAGGGATTCCCTTGCACAGTTGCATCTCGAACTCTCGACGCGACGAACATATATGCCCAGGCACGCACAATCTCAGCAGTCAGCAACGTGCATGCATGCATGGATATATACAGCACGGCATGCCATGCATTGTGCCAAAACGTACAGGATCAGTCTGCGTCTAGCGTGCATGCCTATGCACGGATGCATCTACTCTCGCGCAAAAGCGGTCAAAACGGGCAGATTCTCTCGCGGGGGCTCCCTCTTTGGGAGGCCTCTCTTGCTCGGGCGCGCGCTTGGCTGGTTGGTTGGCGCATGCGGATGCCGGCCGGCTGCGCCTGCGCGCGCGGGCGCGTACGTGCTCGCGACCGCGCGCGCAGTGTGCCCAGTGGTTTGTGCGTGTTTTGGGCAGCGCCGCGCGTGTGCTGGGCTAAGAGCGGTACAATAGTAAGCTATAAGCGAGCTATAACTATATATCGAGAAAAAAAGAGAAGAGAGAGAAGAAAACGGGCTACAGATTTATAGCTGACTGCAATACGAACTCCAAGACGTTATGTGTATATGAGAGGTGGGACCGGATATTAATAGTGTAGTATATTTTTATAGTTAACTATTGTATAAATGGACTGTTAGATTAGCTATAGTTGTTTTATAGCCAACAATTGACTATACTATTAAACTTGCTCTAATGCAAGGACGGTAGGCGGGCGAGCGGGCATCCCGGCCGGTCTGTTGGATCATGAGAATGATGGCCGCTTTAGGACGAAGGGGAGGAGTCAAAAATAAACGCAGGGCGCTTTTGCAGCACAAAGGCCCCATTTCGGAATATATGCGTACGTACTTCCTGTGTGTCCAGCTTACCTAGCCGGAGCTCCCTTTTCTCCTTACCTTTTCTGTTGTAATTTCTTGTTTTGTGTGGCCAAGCAATGCAATGCATGCATGCGACGCCCTCCCTCTTTAATCGTAGACTGGAAACGAGCAAACGATCGGGTACGTTCGCGACAAACTCGCAAGAAAATAATGCTGAAGCGATGCATTTCGTAAGCTCTCTCGTTGAATCGTCCGGCCGTGAATTTCACGACAATATATATCTATATCTATATCTATAATATTATAAAAATTGAAGATGTTTTGCCGATACTTTGGTATACTATCCGTGTATGAGTCGGTTTTTAAATTCGTTCGCTTTTGAAAATACATATCTATATTTAAGTCGGTTTTTAAATTCGTTCGTTTTTAAAAATACAGAAGGAGTCATATAAAAAAATCTCTTTTAAAAAAAGAACTCGCATGCTAATTTGAGACGATCAGACTCCTAACCACAGCTCATGACTTAAAAAAAAAACATCCAAGCGAATTGCCACATTGAATTTCATCTTAGCTAAACCATATAATAATAATAATATTAAAATAACCTTTACCCATTACAATGCACGGATATTTTTTCTAGTATGTATATAAAAGCAAAAATAAGCCAAGATCCTACGATTCGCGCGTCACGGGAGAAAAGGTGAAAGGCGCGCACGGCCGGCCGGCCATTAACACCAAAAGATCGCGCAAGTTGCTTCTAATCCAAGTACTAAATGATTGAGCACTCAAACCCCCTCATCGCCAACGGCTCGTCGACACGACGGCTCAGCGTGCGGAATCACCTGGACCCGCGCGAGCGGCGTGGGGGCAAGCTAGCGGAGTAGTAGGCGCTCCTCCCGCCCTTCTTTCCCCGGCCGGCCCATTCTCCCCTTCCCTGTTTTGGTAGGCGTGCGCGCCATGCGTCGGCGTCCACACGCCCATGCGTGGCCCGGCTGCGCTCGACCGCGCGCCTCGTTCTCCTCGCCTCTCTCCTCGTGGTGGCCGGTGGGGGCGTTGCCGTTGCCGTGCACAAGGGCGGCCGCGCGCCCGGTCGCGCGATCGATTGCCAACAACCGCCGCGCGATGTGCTGCGCTAGCAAACTTTACAACCCAGAGACATCACGCACGCACATCGTACCGGCGCGAGCACGCTGTAATTATCTCCCCCAGCAACTTATTCATATAAGCAAAGACAAGGCATGCAGTTAGTCAGCTAGCGCGAGACAGGGTCCAAACAAGCGCCACAGACGGCTCACAGTAGCGAGTTACATCAGTCACAGGAGCAGCAGCTAGCCGCGTGCGTGTAGGCCCTGTGAGCTACTACGGCATAAACAGCAGGGATCTATCGATACAATGAGTCAAATCCAAGCGCATATGATCTTTCCGCCTGCGCTGCGCTGCCCTGCCGCGCGTGACTGGTGTGACAAAGCCCCCCTCCTTGCCTTGCCGGCTCAGCTCGCCTTTCCTCGTTGGCCGCAAAGATGCAGCAAAAGCCTCGACCGCTGTCGATTTACACGATGAGACGAAACTGGCTCGTGTCGTGTCGTGCTCGTATCGTGCTCGTGGCCCATGGGAGGCTTGGAAGGGGAATTTAACTATTTGCCACTTGTCCAAATAAGTGTCTTAAATTCACGCTTAATAATTTATCAATGAAGGGAGGGGTCATTTCTTAACTATTTGTCACTTTTGCTTACGTGACGAGCCATCATAGCGTGCCCACGTGAAAAACGACGTGGACCCACCCGTCAGCCCCTCCACTTTCCTTCTTCTCCACCTCGCCGGAGCTTGAATTGAGCGTAGCCATTACACGGACACATCTAAAGCGGAGATTTTCGCCCTGAGTTGGCCTAGCTCGGCCACGAGCGCCGCCGCCACCATGGTCTCCTCAAGCGCCACGTCCCCAAGCCCCGCGTCCTACGCCACCACCGCCCCGACGACGAGCGTGAACAACAGCAGCAGCGCCGCCACGGTAGCGCGTCTCGTGATCTGCATCCCGAGATCCGTGCGAACCTGTCTCCCTCGATCCGTGCATCGCCGGAGCCACTCCCACTCCCCCTTCTTCATCTATCGTTGAAGCCGCTCCCACTCCCCGTTCCGCACATGGCTATCACCATTCTCATCGTCTGTTCCGGTGCACGCAAGCCTCTGGGCCCGAGGAAGCCGTAGCGGCCCTGTCAACATCGCGGTCGTCGTTGTTCTCCGCTTCCTCATTGTCGTCAAGAAACTCGCGCAAGTGGAGGTTCTCGAAGGATCTCCTCCATCGGAGCAACTCCGAAAGCGGCAAGAACCCGTGGCCGCCTTTGCCCACCCCGCAGCCTCGGTCGCCAGCGCCTGTAAGTGGCGAGGCGAGCCGAGGTGGAGGAGATACAGCGGCCGTAGGTGGAGAAAAAAAGAGAGGGGAGGGCCTGACGGGGAGGGGGTCCATGTCGCTTTCCACGCGAGCACACCACAATGGCTCGCCACGTAGAAAAAATGATAAATAATTAAGCACGAATCTAGAAGAGGCATTTGAATAAGAGCAAGATAATAATAGAGCTCACTTCCTACTATTAGCCAATCTTAAAGCCAACACATATAACAGATTAGCTATAAGGTTGGCTACAATTTTCTTCTCATCTCTCAATCTCTCACTTATACATTAAGAGCAAGTTCAATAGTATAGTCAAATACTAGCTCCAATTCATCTATAGCCAATCTAATAGCTCATTCATACAATAGTTACATACTACATTATTAATACCTAGTCCCACCTGTCATAGACACACTGCGTCTTGGAGTCCGTGCTACAGCTGGCTACAAATCTGTAGCTCGCTGCTCTTCTCTCTCCTGATTTATCTCCTTAAAATATGTTTGCAGTTAACTTATAGCCTGCTATTGTACCTGCTCTAATTGTATTTGTCTTAGAGTTTGTGTTAAGCTAGTTCTTGCATGAGAGCCAACACCTTAACTTTTTATTACATCTCTTCTCCACATAAGTTTATAGTAGGCTTACAGCTTACTATTATACTTGCTCTAAGTGATGTACTTAACAGTGGTAAATAGTTAAATTCCCCAGGCTGGACCCCTCCACCCAGAGTCCAATCTCCAAAGCGGTGGAACACCAGCCCAGCCGCTCAGCCTCGCAGAGTCGCCCCGCGCGGCTCGGCCGCTCACCCACCCGTAACGCCGTCACGAGACGGCGCTAGCCCGGTGGGGAGGTGGCGCGAATCCGAGGCGCCGCCTCCTAATTTTTCCCGCGCCCCACCCCGCGCTGTGGCGGCTGTTCCTCCTCCTCCTTCCCCCGATCCCCAACTCCTTCCAACTCACATGGCGGCGGCGGCGGCGGCTGCGTCCGTGGCGAGTCAAGCGCAGGCCGTGCTCCGCGGCAGGCTCTGCGACCAGGCCGTCGTCCACTCCGCCCTCAGGTCCTCGCCGGACACCAACTACAGGTCAGCCAGAGTCGCTCCCCCTCCCGCGAAATCAGCCCGGGAGTCCTCGCGACTGACGCGCTTTGTTCTGGGTTGGGCACAGTAAGCTGAAGTACCTCGTCGCCAGCTCCGTCTCCGAAGCCTGCAACAACTCCGTCCTACTCCTCGGCCCCCGCGGCTGCGGAAAAGCCGCGGTGAGGTTTTCCTTCCTAGTATACTCTTCTGCCCCACTTTCAGCGGTTTTCTCGGATGCGGGGGTGGTGTTCGACGAAATGTGCCAGTGGGCGATCTACGACTTTACGCTATGGGTTGTTTCGGCATGGACTGAGGTGGTGTTTGGATCAGGGACTTAACTTTAGTCCATGTATTTAGATACTAATTTAGAGTATTAAATATAGACTACTTATAAAACTAATTACATAAATGAAAGCTAATTCGCGAGACAAATTTTTTAAGCCTAATTAATCCATAATTAGAGAATGTTTACTGTAGCATCACATAGGCTAATCATGGATTAATTAGGCTCAATAGATTCGTCTCACGAATTAGTCCAAGATTATAGATGGGTTTTATTAATAGTCTACATTTAATATTTATAATTAGTGTCCAAACATCCGATGTGATAGGGACTTAAAAGTTTTAGTCCCATCTAAACAGGGTCTGAGATTTCAATTCTTCGCAGGTGGTCGACATGGTTCTAGATGATCTGAAGAAGGATCATCCTGATGCAATATCAGTGGTATGTATAAACGTTATATTTTACTTGTTGCTAGAAATGTATCCATGTATTTGCGTAATACACGATCGATGATTTACCTACGTTGGCCGTGAAATAAACATACATGTTACGAGAAAATAGTTTGTTTCAGGGCGCTTTAGGGCGGAAGGGGACAAGGATAAATGTAGAAACTCCTTGCATATTTTTATGTTCTCAAATGCATGGCCTAGCCAAAAGGACAATATATCATAATGCACAATTAGTTAGACTTTGTTAACTTGTAGTTCAGTTGGATTATTGTGCAAACTTTTTTCAGATCAGGCTGAATGGGATGCTACATAGTGATGACAACTGTGCCACGAAGGTTAGAGCTTTCTGATGCCAGCTTTTTTGGTTCAATTTCCGTATTCCACATGCCCTCCGAACCAAATCTCCCTCTCTCTTAACTCCTGTCCACCAATTCAGTTAACTTCATAGTTGTTTCTATGCTTTATCAACTCCAATGCAGCCATGCTAATGCTTTTGTTACTTTGCTTTTAAGGAAATTGCGAGGCAACTTTGTTTGGAACATCAGTTATCATTTTCCAAAATGGTGTGTGGTGTCTACTCTAGCCTTCACCTCACTCAATTATTGTTCTCTCTACCATTTTAAAAGATCTTATCTCTTTTAGGCTTCTTCAGATGACAACACGGAATTCATGATTGACATGTTACGGTAAGTGAAGTGTTAAGATGATGAGCATCTGTACATCATAGAGACATACTCCTTGATTCTTGAAATTTATGTCCAGTCATCTGTATCCTCTCTTCTGCAGGGAGTGTGGACTAGCTCACAAGACAATAATTTTTGTCCTAGAAGAGTTTGACCTCTTTGCTCAGGTTGAAACAAATACATGCATTCTGGTTTAACTATACTTAATTCATGCTGAATGTTAGATGCATAGAATTGTAGCACGTCATGGTTTATGGGACATTTGTCTTACAGGAATAGCTTGCTTTCTACAATTGCTGCTGGCAATTATTAGATAACAGGATAACAGATGATTCTATTTATGGTTTCCTATTACAGGGGAAGCAGAGGTTACTCTATAGCTTACTTGATGCAATGCAATCTCTCACCTCACAAGCTGTTGTTATTGGTGTGAGTTGCCGATTGGTATGAAATATATCCTCTCCCATGTTTCTGCATCTTAGCCGTTTGTAATTTGTGTGCTAGTACACTGTCATAAGATCACCATCTCCCATGTTTCAGATGACCCTCTTAATCGTGTGGTAGTTGATACACAATATGCATTAGTGCAGTAGCATGTCACATGCATTGTGGTAATTAATGATACCAACGCTGTACTTGGGATTGAAGTGGCTAATAACTTTAGACATTGATAGTTCTACGAAAAATCTACTGTTTCCTTTGTGAGCTGTTTTGTAATATCAATTCATTTTTAGGATGCAGACCAACTCCTAGAGAAAAGGGTTAGATCCCGGTTCTCTCATAGGAAGCTTCTGTTTGTTCCTTCTTCAGTGGATAGTTTACAGAGGTTAGCCTTGTGCATTTTTTTTTTCAGGCTAAAACATTCACTGTTTCTCAAGATCTCTATTCAATCCATCTTTTGACATTTGAATGATTGCAGGTTAATGGAGCACTTGCTAGCACTTCCTGAAGATTCTCCCTTACCAACAAAGTATGTCAGGGAGTACAATGCACGGATTACTGTATCCTTTGCTCAATGTGACATGTCACTTTATGTGCTTACAAAACCTGCAGGTCACTGTTCTTGCTTTATAATCCTCACGGCAATCATATTTGAATAGGCTGACAAATACCCACAGAGTGTTTTGTTAATGGGCAGTTTTTCTGTTTCTTATTCCAAGAATGGATGCTGAATGTGTTCTTTTCTATGCTAAAAAGAAGCCATGGTGGCAAACTGGCAATGGCACTGTTTCTTAGGCTAAATGGAACTGTATGTGATCATCCCATCAAGTTCTATAATATTGTTTGTGTTATTGTGCAAAACAAAATTGTAATCCATATAATCAACTAGGTAAGGTAGTGCAGAAAATTGCATTAAAAGCTTGGGATTTCCTTGTATGCTGCTGAAAGTTCACATTCTCATGCCACTCATTGTCTCAGTGACATGGGCTTGGATCCACCTTTGTCATAACGACAATGAGGGATTTTAGAGTTCAATGCAATATAAGGAACTAATCCCCCCCAAGGTTTATGTTATCCTATACACTTCAGAGCATTTTCAATGACAAAAAGTTCAAAGGAATTCTCAGCTCCCTCACTGATGCTGACGCAACAACAAGCCACATCCTTAGATTTCTGTAAGTATTTCAGCAGCTTCTTTTTTTTATCCTCCCTTTTCTTCACATTTCCACACTTTTTAGTACTCAGTTAAATATAGGAGAACGAAACCTTCAGTTTCAGAGTGGTGTCATACATGGACATAGATTCTGGACTTCTGTCAATGCAAAGCTTCATGAATGCGCTATCTTCGATGCAGAGGCAGCCTAAGATGGACAGTTTGCAAGGTCTATTTTGTTTGTTGTCCCTCATTTACTTATGTAGGATGGAATTGTTCGCTGTATTGATTTATATGCTAAAACAAAGCTACCTTCATTACTCCACACCATAAAACAGTGGACATGAATGGCACCATATTTCTGACACTGAAATTTCGATAGCAGATCTCTCCATTTTGGAACTATACATTCTTGTATGCATGAACAGGCTAGAAGATAAGGAGAAAAGTTCATACAACTTTATCACTATTATGAAAGGTAGAATCTGTTCCTCTCCATTTGTGTTCAGTCATAGGAAAGACTAAGTAAGTTGATGAACTGGTTGTCTGTCAGAGTACAAATCTGTGCAGGATGCCTACAAAACGTCGGACAAATATTCACACACTGTTTGTTTTAGAGTAAGTATTAGCACAATCAAGAATTCATGAACCTTCCATTATATTGAAATTTCAATATAAAAAAATTACAACTTTTTTTTCCCCTTCGATATAGGCTTTTGAGCATCTTTTGGATCGCGAGTTGATTAGCTTTGCAGACAACAAAGGGAGAAATCAGGCGCTTGAATATCGTCCTGTCAAACTTCTGATATCTTCACGTGAGCTTGCTGAGTCCCTCAAGTTGAACACGACCTGCCCTGTGAGTTAAACGTCCACCTGTTTTCCAATTTAACGATCATCTGATCCTTACCCCTTTTGTGGCTTGCCGTTCTATCTCAATACGCTAACAGGTTGTCATGCTTTGTGAATGATGGTGCTCTGGTTTACTATTGCAGGCTGTTTTGCAGAAGCTTCTTGACCGTGAAAGATACATGTAAAAGTTTCTATATGTTTGCTAAGTTGATACTGGTTCAAGTGCTGGCATACTTCTTTCTTCTTTGTTACTCCCTAACACCGTGTTGGAACATCCTATCTACTGCAAAGAGATTTACCTTGAAGATGAAAAAGGTATATCGGTCTCTGGCAAGGTAACAAACTAACAACACACCATTTCACTCGATGCCCTCCCTCTTGTGTGCATGGATGATACTTGAGAAGTTCAACGCAAGGTAAACGCACTAGTGCACTACTGTGCTAGTAAAACTTTAACTGGATTACCATGGAAAATTGACACCATCAGTTTTGTGCTCATGACAAGCGTCCTAGGACGAACATTTGTTGTCCTCAGTTCTGTAGATCATACACATTCAACCAATCCTGTCATCCTATGCATGCGTTGATACCGAGAATCTAGCTCAGGTTTCATAAGTAGCTCAAACACATGTTGCATAGCAATGCTATTGTTTTTCTCAAATAAAATTGTTCCAAATATTATAATTATCTTGAAACTCTCGCAATCTCAGGCCTGTAATGGCGGAACTATTGTCAAGTAAAATTTGCCTACCTTAAGGTCTAGTTAAAGAGACTAGCTATGTATAGTTATCTTGAAAACAAACAAATACAAGGTAATAGAAGGTTTGGAGCAGAAACACTGCGATGAAGCTATTACAGCTGCTTTATTGAGCGTAAGTGATCCCTTCGTGACCATTCCAGCAAGAAAAGCGCAAGAGAAATCCCCACACAAATCCAAAGAGTAATCAACCAAGTAGGCATTGGATCTTGAAACAAACCTGGTTATGTTGATTCATGTTAGCACAAAGACTGACCAAGCATGTATCGACATAAACTGTATGCCCTTGTTAATTTGCCAAGAATATGCTACATACTATAAAATAACTCACCGTGTCCAAACTTCATGCATATAAGCAGCTCTACCATGCATATAGCTAACGAAAGCCAACAAAAAGCTCCCACCTTCTTCACTGGTTTTCTGAGATAATTGATATATTGAAAAAAATATTTAGTTATCCATCAATAGAAAGATTGCACGCCCATAAACAAAAGCCGGGATGGGAACTCATGATTCTAGAAAAGGTGTAGGAGGATATTATAATCTATATGTCAAGAAGACCTGTCTTGCAAGTAGGTGTTGTACTCACGAATTGCCGGGATAGCAATTAACCACCAAAGGATCAGCCGATACACAACCAAGGGGTTCCTGGGAGGAATCCAGAGACAAAATTTCAGGAAGAAGGTGTTAAGTTCCACTGTCATGAAACCGACGCAGAGACAGAACACTTGGATGAATCTCCTTGGCTCCATGAAAGGATGCCATTGATCCTTATCCCATTTAGCGGGTGTGAACTGACATAATGACCTTTTTACCTGCCACAATGGAAGTGGTTAACCAATGAACTTAAAGTGAACTTGACTAGCTTGCGCAGGATAAACCAGCTGATACCAAAATCATAATTTTGAGGTCATGATAAACATGCATATGCTCTGGTTTACGAATTTGTCTGTCCAATTCATAAAATATCCTACCAAATCAGTTCCAGACTCCTATTCTTATCCTAATGTTTCTATTCTACTCCTTCCGTCCCAAAATATAGCAACTTCTGGCTAGTATCCCTGTGCGTATGGTTGGAGGTATTTTGATTAGCCAATACCTTCCATGCAGCCCATAGTTCAATTGCTCAACTCTCACCCTTTAGGCAGGTAGCTTTAGCTTGGAGCCTTAGAAGTGATCAATTGTTTTTCATAATCTACGAGGCTTTCTTTTTTCTTGAAAAAAAAACTTATGAGACTATATATGAATATGACCCACATGTAGTCAGAGTATTTAAGTGATGTATATTGTATAGAGAATGGTATAAAGTGGAATAATTACTTGCTTAGAAATTCAGGGATTAAGGATACCAAACTGCAGACAAGACAGCCTGACTTCTGCGGCAACAGAAATTCATTGTACAGTCCCACTGGGAAAATCCCAGATTCTGCCTGGGATCTCCCATGTATGGAGTTAAGATCTTTACACTTGCATAGTACATGCAGTTATAGGATGACTTATCTTTTGTTAATACTCTGCCAAGTCCACTAGAGGTTGTCTAACTTGAACAGTCTTTTGTTGACAATGGGAAAAAAACAACAACCTCTATATCAAGATATACACAGCCTTCTAACTCAACACTCGAACAGTCTGCATAACGTCAATCTTATGGCAGCAGCATAATCAAACAAAAAATCTTATGGCAGCAGCATTGGCGCACATAATCAAGCATTGGTGAAAGTATTTGTGTCAGGATGATAAAATAGCAGGACAAAACAGCAAAAACTTGGACCACTGGTCATTTTTTTTAGGTATGCAATAACCAAATTAAGAGATTAAAACTGAAAAAAAAAAGGAATATGCCTTCTATTAATGTGTTTTCGTTGAGCAATTGAGCATACCTTACCCATAATGCTTGGCTGACGGCTCAGTCCAACCCATTCGTATGTTTTGCCATCAAAGTAACGGACTGTGTGCATCCCCGCCCAAATACCTGTATCAAGATTCAAAATACTAGTTGAATGGAAACATTTCGATGGAACAACAGTAAAACTTCTGATGTTCATACACTGAATTACGACCGTACATATTCGTTATTTAAAAAAGAAAATGATAATAACAAAACACAGTGAACCTTTTCAAAGGTTCTACATACTCAGGCCAAGACAAAACAGTATCAAGGCAATGACATCCTAGTTAGTGCATTCTGCTACACATATCAAAAGGGAAGTTCCGATTGAGAATTGAAAATCACGAAAAATTTATCTTGCAGACAAGCTGTCCTAATCAACCAAGCAAGTCTACATATGAAATAACATGAGAAACATCGACATAACAAAGCCCATATTCACTGCTAATCTGTACCAGTACCTCTAATGTTTTGCACTGACAACTCGATATCCTTAAATCTAGCACTCTATCAGCATCCAGAAAAGAAACAGCTATGTGAGAACTTTTGATACTTTTAACTTGTATGACTATAATAACATTTTTTTATTCAGAAATATAACAACCAGATGGATGAATTGTAAATTTAGATACTGCCTTGAAAGACAGAGATCTCACCAAACCAATTACATATCATGATATCCAATATAATACTGTCCCACCAACACTCGTTAAAATTTGGCAGCATGTGCCTAAATGTAAGCTGCAGAAGATATCAAGTGTGCATTGTTACAATAGTTCATGAAAATTTACTAAATGAACATATGCTAAAATAAAAGGAAATAATATTTCACTAGTCAAGGCAGCTTTTCTAACCTCCATGAGCTCAAAACCAACTGACAAGACCCATAGGAGAAGTTGGTTCCGTATCATTACTGCCTTACCCCACCAACCCAAGACATGGGCAATAACAAATTCATCAAACAATGTCTCCTATAGGTGCATCGTATTACCAATTTTGATGAAATAGCATTAAAAATAAATGAGTGTTGTGAATAGTGATGCTCATATGGAAAATCATACTTGAATATTAATAAATCTGTTGGTAGGGTTTTCTGGAACATACATACGGCAGTCAGAACCATATGATCTCTCTGGTAGTTCTGCATTTTGATATAAACAAATGATCAGAATATATATATCTATAGATGATATTGTGATTTTTCCCTTGTGAATGTATTGCATAAATATTCTACCAACTCCGAGACCAGGGTGAAGGTGCTTCATAAACTGCCTGGCATCATCACGTTTCTAAAAGAAAACGGTATATAGATTAGACAGCAGACTAAATTTGAACACATAATTACAATATCTACCTTGAGCATCAAGTTTAAATGGTCCAAGTGAAAGGCTAATGAGTAAATTTTAAGAATAGCATGTTAGTGAATACAATAAACTGTAGACATAGCCAACCTGGAAAAGAAGAAAAGTTAGAGCAACAAGGTACACAACAGCCATGCCATGCACCAAACGCCACACAGCAGGATGAGGCCTAATAAGTATCCTGTACAAAAGATTATTAGCCTGATCAATTAGCATCCTCATAAGTATTTATAGTTCTTTACAGAGCAAAATTAGATAAGACTCTCACAAAGGTATATCTACTCATAATGGCCAAACATCAGGTGCTTCTCCTTGCATCAGAAAATCAGCATAATCTAAGTAGTAAATGGTCCAATCAATTATGTACTATGAGAATCTGGTTTTGTGAGATCAAGAACATAGATGCCTTTTGTGGTGCTGGTAAAATGAAAAACATGTAATATCGCCAGAGCGAGTTTTCTTTGCTAAATCATAAACATATCATATATGAAAAGAATAGCGTATTTCATTTGATATCTGACCAATGGATGCCTGCTGACAAGATGATGTGATTTAACTCATTTACTAGAAAGCATATATGCGGGGCTTTTGGTAGGATAGAACATTTCACCTTCAATGTCAATCTTTTAATACTTTACCAGAAAAAAATTACCTAAATAATGCACCCAGTGCCAATAATAAAATGTATGACTGTAACAATCTCCCTAGCCAATAGGGGACCATAATGCAGAAGAATTGGTCATGAAAGATCCACAAGGACACAATAATGCAAAAAACATTTATTTAACTACCATTGGAATACAGCAAAGATTTGGAGACAGACAAAAAACAATTATTACACTGATAATTGTTAACATATGGTTTACCTAACAAGGGATAATTCACTTACGTTGAAGGTGCTTGGAGAGTGCAGTATGCTAGGAAAACTGCGATCATAGCCCAGACACCCCTGAGAAAATGTCAGTGAGTGAATCAGTTTCCTGGCATTGTTGCTTACTAGTACATACCATCAACAGAAGTCCAGTAAAACAATAATATTGGAAATCATCCTACAAATTCTTATCATTTAGAGTAAATGTGTTTCACAGTGTAATACCTTTTAATAGGTATGACCTTATCATGAGAGCTTGTAATCTCTGGATGAAGGACCCCACTTGCCCAGCTGTGAGAACAATAAAAGTGAACCAACTGCCAGACTGATGAGAAAGTAAAGAAAGGTGTTCAGATCTAGCTACAACATTTTTTACTAATAATACAACTGTTAAATTGTCAATTCTTGTATACGAATAGAATAGGTTGGCACCCAAGTTAGATGACTGGTAACAGGCAGCAGCAGCCAATACGAGCTCGTGTTTATATATGATTGTTTATGAATTTTTCAAGCATAAACTAGTACTTTTCATGCCATGATGCAACTGTCCTTAAATAAATCGTAGCCATTCATTTCGTGTCATTACTCTGAAACCAGTTCAAAGAATGGGCTGGATTCTTCATACTTCCAATTACCATGAATTGTTCCCTATTCCAAGCGCTTGAGGGTTATAACTTATAGGTAACTAGTATGAGAGTGGTCCAAGTCCAGCAAGACTAAAACACATGGTTTGTTTCAGAGTTTGAGTATCCCAGCCACATCTCACACAGAAAAGCTAAAAACCAGAATCTGCGCAGAATCTCAGTGGATGTTATGGATTTATAGTTGTTTGCCTGTATTGCGAATACTGAATTTCCAACTGAACCATGAAATGTTTGGTGAAGTGGCATTGAACATCAGAAAGTATCCCATACAAGACACAATACCTTGTACTATTTACTTTTGAAGACAAATGGCACACAAACTATGCATATATGGATCACTGAGAAGTCCAAAAGCCACACCAGTTAAAAATACCAGAGGCTGCAGTAACAGTTCTCTGCCATTTTTCAGCATAGCGTACCAAAAAACGTTAGGGATCAAATATGGTTTCCATATTAAGTTCCCAATTGGAGCAGCAAGTACAGTCTTAATATCTTTTACTACCATCTAGCAAACTTAATTAGTATATCAATTTAATCTGCACATTGAGAAATAATTTTACTGGTTATAAACTCTATTAAGCTCCAAAGAACTAACAGAAACTAACCCATTTTCTACATCCCTAAGAGCCTTACGCTCAGACAATTCTTGCAAAAGCAGATACTAGCAATCCTTGCACATGTATTTGAGAATTTAGACTACTTACATCAGGAGGCATGCGCCGGCAAGGAGAACCGAGACCGTGTGTGGCTTGTAAAGCCAAGCCGTCCACGGGTCGTATTCCTCCACGCCGCCGCCGTCCGACGGCCATATTTCCATGTCCTGCATCCTCTGATCGTTACTAGATCCATATTCCATCACCTCACCGCTGGCATCAATGGAGTTGATTACTCGTCTACCTGCATGGCCAGTTAGAGAATTCGGATGGAGAGATCAATATATATAAAAAAAAAACCAGGATCGCAATCAGTAATCAGAACGAACGCTCGCTTGTAATGAGGGTAAGAATTAGAACCAGGATCAATCAAATTATCAGAGACATGATAGAGAGTAGCAAATGCATTGGGGTTCACAGGGTTGATCAATTCGACGGAGAATCGCAGAAGGATCGCAAGAAGCAGATAGAAGCTTACGGTGATGGATGGGAGCCGAATGCTGTGGAAGCGACGGCGGTCTCTGCTGTCGAGAAGATGGGCAGGCGTCGGCGTCATCTGTGTTTACATCGCCTCCATCTGGGCTGGGCTGGGCTGCGGTGGAGCTCGGGGGGTACCACCTCCGACGCACTGGCATCTGGCAGTGGCAGATCAGGTAGTCAGGTCCCCGGCGGGCCTCCCGAGCTGGCACTCAATGTGCATGCATTTATCTGTCAAGTGTCAAGTGTGTTTATAACATGGTAAGGATTTTCACTTTGAGATGTTTGCAAAGAAATTCTGGACAAAATACCCACATGAATACTATGAAATTCTTTATCATATGCGGGTAACTCAGCGTAGAAAACGTCAGGTACACCTACAAAATGCTCTTTAGGCTGGTGGAGACTTCTCAATGCGCACGTAAAATTGAACGATAAAATAGTACATAGTTAATTAAATATTAACTAAAATTAAAAAAATATATTAATATGGTTTTTTTAAAGGAAACTTTTCTATAGATTTATTTAAAAAATATATCGTTTAGTAGTTTAAATAACATGCACGTAGAAAAAGAGAAAGTAAAAGTTAAAGCGTGCACGTGAAAAATAAGAGTAGAAGTTAGGAAAATGTTCAAAAGAGGGAGTAGAAGTTAGGAAATTTACTCTTGGGTCCATTTTTCTCTAGCATATTCTTTCGTATAAATTGACATCAGACAATCATATCTACTTGAAGGCCACTACAAGTAGAGTAGCAGGCAAGTAATAAAAAAGTATAAGGGTAATATTCATATATAATTAGTAAAAATAAATAAAAATAGATTTTTCACAGTTTTTTTTAAGATATATCAATTATAAAATATTGATAAGATTAGACCATTGTCATAGTAAGAGACCATGATTCCTTATCGAACTCATGTGAAGAGGACATGAAAGCATTATTCATTGTCGTCGCATCTACCCTTGCGATGCCACTCCTTCCCTTGTGTGCACCTGACGTGACTATGTGTGCGTCTCTGATTGCTCTCAACTTGCTCACACCACCCAAGAGTTCGCACCGAGGACGCTCGTGAACTCGCACAACATTATGAGTTTGCACGGTGAACTCAAAAACTCCCACAATCTCAACCGCCGATGACATCACGAATTTGTGTGTTTTGGTGGTATGAACTCGTGCGCTTCTATTGCCATGTCAATGATTGCGTATCTTTGCGGATGCGATGACCGTATAATGTTACTGTTGGTTTTGAAACGAGTATATTTCTGTCACGCCGATAAAAAAAATATATTTTCACTTTTTTTCTTTTCTATAATTGTCCCGTTTTCTTTAAGAAAAAAAAAGGTAATGAAAGGCTAGGTCTCGTGTTAGTAGAAAACGAAACATACTGGAGGGTATATATGCAAAATCCACAATACTGGTTTGTAGCCTGGGAGTCTGGGACGACTTCGATTTCTGTCGCACATCCGTCTCCCACCTGACTCGTTCTAATCGGCGAAGAGAAACCCACACAAGAGGAAGATGGCGGCGCCGGCGACCGGCGGCGGGATCTCCGCCGACGTCCCCATCCTCCACTCGGAGAACCTCACCAGCAACGTCAAATCCATCTACTACAGGTTCCGCTCGTTCTCTTCCCCCCCCCCCCCCCCCCCCCAACCAAAGTTTAGAATTCGATCTGATCTGATAAGTAGGGTCATGCTTATGTCTGTTCGATTGGATCTGGGATTTATGCGACGACATGGTTTGATCTGCTCAGATTAGCCCTAATTCTTTCGATTCAATCCGGAACCGTGCGACCTGGTAGTTTCACTGTAGGCATGCTTCCGCTCTTCTTGCGGCAATTTCGAAATCTCGGGGTGCAGTTTAGGATCAAAATCTAAGTACTATGAATAATAAGAAAAGGATCAAGTAATTCTGTGGGCCAGTTCATACTGCCAGAAACTGTGGGTCAAATTGCACACTTACACTAGGATCTACTAAAATTAGAGTAATCAGGCTTCATGAATCAACTGAAAGTTTTCAATGTTTACATGCTTTTCTACTTCATGCTCAGATAGATGCTAGATACCTCCCATTAACTATTAACTCTTTTCGTAACCCTTTCAGCAATTCTAGTCATTGATGATTATTTTTGACTGCTTCACTTTTATACCAAGATGGCAAGGTGATATGTCTTAACCGTGAGGATTGATTTTGCGTTGCAGTCGGACATTCTTGTCAATTATCAGTGGAGTTGTTGCCGGAATCTGGGGATTCACAGGCTTGATGGGATTCGTGTTCTACCTTCTTGTAATGATGGTGGCATCCCTTGGGCTTTTGCTGAAGGCCAAATTTTCAATTCATACATACTTTGACAGCTGGAACAGGATTTTGATTGAAGGAGTTTTTGGTGGCCTTATGGTAAGCCATACTGGAGCTGTAACATTGTGATGCACACCTTTATTTCCATAAAACTTGAATGTCCAGATCATTCAACATGATTTACATGAACTTGTATCTTTCATGTTTAATCTATATTCTATGTTATTATGAAGCATGGGATGATGGGAAGATTGATCATTTTAGAAAGTTGATGAATGTGGAACATCCCTTAACAATCTGTTCGGGTTTGGCATTTTAACCAAATTGTTAGAAACCTCCTAGTTAGGAATAGTGTGACATTATCATGGATCTTCCTAGCTGTTAAAAGGTGGCCTGGTTTGGTGGTAGAATACAGATTTTTGATGGAAGGAGTATAAAACATTGGGAGCTTCATACCCTAACTAATGATTCACATCTCAATTGTTACTGTTGACTGTTGGTAAATGTTCTCAAGTTATACAACCACATTTTCTTAACTATATGTTTGGTGTTGCTAGTATTCTAATATCAATATAGGATTCTATTGCCTCAATGTATAGTTCATCACTAGATTATTTCCTCAAATTTCTTCATGATAATGAGCTTTATCCTGTTTTGGATGGTGGCCTAACATTATTTCCTTGCTTTTTTTGCAGTCTTTTGTGCTGTTTTGGACGTATCCTTGATGCTGTAAATATTATTGCTATTTTCAATTTTCCATATATACACAAACCATCTAGTATTTCTTATTCAGTATAGGTGTCAGGCAAGGTCTGATTCGATTACTAGTATAATGGCTCACCACCATAGAACCATACTAAAGCCACATAACTGAGAGTATGTAAATCATTATTATGTGAGGCCATAGCATGAATTTGAGGTAGACCATTGTGGTTATACATTTGAAGATGCCATATAAATTATATAATGCATGCCAATTTTTATGTTTGAGTTTGTCCTTAACAATGAACAGATTTGCGTATGATATTGTGCACATCTTCTGATGCACGGCATAAAGAACTCAACTCCGAAGACTTGAAGGGAGCTGTGGGGTTTCTCCTTGAACTGAATTAACGTGTAACCGCACCAACCCTGGAGGACTACATTCGTTGGACTGCTGTCCTGTTTTGTTCCTTTTTTTTCCACTCCACATGTATCAGTTATAGCTCTGTACTTTAGAAAGATGCAAGCTTATTAAGTTTAATTTACAAATTGATGTAGAAGTGAATCCAATTGCTGGCAAGTATGGTGCTTGATCTTTTGAACATCAGAACTTGCTAGGTAGGGGACAACTGGTCATTGATACATCTATTGCTGCCCAGCGTGCTGATACTATACTCCACTAGTAGTATGTTATATTGTTATCGTTGGAGCTCTGAACTTGCATATTGTTGATCTGATATGGCAAAGTAACCACTACGTGGTGTTTGCTGAGGAAGTTTTCAACTAGCACTTCGCTATCAAGACGTGGATCTTTCCAGCCCCGGCAAATTCCGGTAGCTGCAAGTCAGAGGGCAACCTCCCATTCCGGCATCCAGCAAAACGTTGCCCGTGGGGGCCGCAGGATACACCGCGCGCCAAGTCGTTAGCGTTGGTGTCAATTTCTTTCTTGCTTGCTTCCAACATAGTGTTCCCAGTTCAAAGAGATTGCTTTTACGGCTTGCTTGGCAAGAATAATTGGGAAGAGGAATGAATACAAGCCATTTTTTGTTGGGAGGAGCTTCCAACATAGTGCTTCCCAGTTCAAAGAGATAGCTTTTACGGCTTGTTTGCCAAGAATAATTGGGAAGAGGAATGAATACAAGCCATTTTTTTGTTGGGAGGAGGAATGAAATGTTTCTTGGGAGTTGGGAGGAGGAATGACTGTGAGTTAAGGAGATTTGGGTGTTCTGAATTCACACTCTGCTGCAGACACGATTAGGAGATCGTGCATTGCCACCATCGACGTCTCACTCGTAAGAGCATCCGTGTCTTATAGCACCAGGCTAGTTAGTTGTGCGGTGGCGCTGCGGTGCACAGAGGCTTTGGGGGAAGCAGAGCCATGGTCCGGGAAGAGAAGCTTGACTTTGTGCTGGTGCCGCTGGGCCTGGCCGTGCTGGCCGTCTACCACCTGTGGCTCCTCTACGCCGTCCTCCGCCACCCCACCCGCACCGTCGTCGGCCTCAACGCCATCGCCCGCAAGCGCTGGGTCACCGTCATGATGGCCGTCGGTACCAATTGATTCTCTTCTTCTTGTCATCTCTCTCTAGAGATTCTAGAATTGTCAGCCTGTCTGTCGTACGTTCTTGTGGGCGCAGAACACGGAGAAGAACGGCGTGCTGGCCGTGCAGACGCTGCGGAACAACATCATGGCGTCGACGGTGCTTGCCACGACGGCCATCACGCTCGTCTCCGTCATCAGCGTCTTCCTCGGCGCCACGGCGGGAAGGTCCCCGGCGTCCCCCTCGTCGTCGTCGTCGGGGGCGCCGCTGCTGGTGTACGGGAGCAAGACCGGGGAGGTGTTCGCGGTCAAGTACCTGGCCATCTCGCTCTGCTTCATGCTCGCCTTCGTCTGCAACGTGCAGGCCATCCGCCTGTACGCGCACGCCAGCTTCCTCCTCGGCCTGCCGCCCGTCGCCGGCGAGGGGGAGGGGGAGGCGGCGGCGGCGGCGGCGGTAGCGCGGGAGGAGTTCGCGGCGTACGTGGCGCGGACGGTGAACAGGGGGAGCCACTCCTGGTCGCTGGGACTCCGCGCCTTCTACGCGTCGCTGGCGCTCTTCATGTGGACGTTCGGGCCCATCCCGATGCTGGCGTGCAGCGTGCTCATGTGCGGACTGCTCTACTTCCTCGACACCACCAGGGAGCGCGCCGCCGCCGTGGCCGGGATCCACCACGGTCACAAGGATAGCACCGTGTAGCAGCACTAGTAGTAAGTAGTAACCAGTTTCTCGATGGCATGGATGTACATCTATTGATCTATAGACCCATCAATTGTTTTGCTTGAGTAATGAACTCAGTCACAGGAGAGAGTTAGCTCATCTTTCGAATTTCACTATCTTTTTTAAACAAATAATTTTGATAGTGTGAAGTTTCATTAAATATAGCAGAAAATAATTACAGTACTATAATCCTGAGAAAACACCACCAAACCACCATCACGCACAGACGTGGTCTACCCGCACACCTAAGGAAAGATCAACATCAAACCGGCTGCCGCTAGATCAATAAGGAGCTAATGATCAAATACAGACCCAAAGACGCCCAAAAATATCGTGGGAACATGAGGTTGTAGAGGGAGAGGACGAGAGAGAAGAAAGATCCCTCTCCCTAGCACACACCCGCCCTCAGGCCTCCATTGCCATACAAGGGCTCCATCCAAACATATTGAGAACGTTTTTTGGTGATAAAGAGGAGAAAAGCGACGAAGAGCATTGTCATCGTCCGACAAGGTATCAAGGAGATCCAAGACAAGGTTTTCACCCAACGGCCCCATCAGGAAGGGAGAGGGCCGTCTCGACAACGCCCCCTAGAGGGAAAACAACGCTCAAAGTGTCGCCGTTGTCGGCCCAGCAAGACCGGGGTAGGCTTTCACCTACTGTCCACCCAAAGTTTTGCAGAAGCCACTCCATTGCTCCACCCCCGGTCATCCACCATCGGCATGTGGACACGACTAAATTGATGCCCCCCACCGACCAGCCTTCGCGTGCCTCAAGGTTCACCACCGCTGGCTACCCCAAGCATCCTCCACCGTGCTGCCACCCGGTGAAGGGTACGACAGCTCCCTGCCGCACCAAGCCGACCACATCGCCTCTGCGGGTGCGTGCTACCATGCCTCCATGGTTGCACTCCCCGCTGCTCGCTCCACGGTCGCACCCCACCTCCACGGTCTCTTCACTCCGCACCTCCACGTGACGTCGTCCGCTCCCTCTTGCCGCTGCCTAGATGCCTCACGTGCCGAGGTTTTGCCGCCGTCATTGGCTACGCTATCACGGTCTCGGCGGGCACTGCACACACACCGCGGCCATGAGCACGGCATCTCTAGATTCGCGGCGCCGGAACTTCTCCTCTACGTCTCCAGGCCTCGTTGTCGTCATCACCAAGAACCGTTGCAAGGGATCCAACCTCCCTTGTCAGAGAGGCTAGCTCCACACGGCGAGGTGTCGGATCTGGCCAAAAAGGGCGGCGCTGCGTGTGGCATGATCCGTCACCACGCTGCACTGCGCGTCGCCTCAGCGCCTGCTACCCCGCCGCCATCACCTCCTCCTCTGCCTCTCCATCTGCCACTCTCGTCACCACTAGGCGCCGCCGCCTCCATTTCCGTCTCCCGAACTGCTTCAGTGTTAACATTAACATGCAAAATGCAAAAGAAAAATTCCAGATTTGCATTCGATTGTGCTCCTCAGTACCGTCAACAACACTGACATGCAAAATGCAAGAGAAAAGGAAATGAATTATTGTTTGCGAGATATGCATTATTAATGTTTAAATGATTTTTTATAGAGGAAAAAAGATTTAGTAATTTGGAAAAGTTATTCTAGAGGAGTATTTCTCTCCAGGCTCCCCGTCATAGACAAAGAGGAGCCCATGAGGCGAAGGCTCATGTTAGACCGAGTTTACGGAGAGGGCCAGACCTAAATTGGTGGGCTCGGATCATGGTTCATGGCCCAAACAAGTGTGGCCCAGTAGGAAGTGACTAGGTCCACGTAGACCAGGTGTATGCGAGTGTGGATGGAGTAGTCGGTGGACGGGCCCCGCGTGTCACGAACCGAGTGCACGATCACGAATCTACGAATGGTTGGCTGCTCCCACACTTTTTCTTCTTTCGTCTCTGTTCTCTCTCTGCTGCTTTGCTTTCTTCGTCTTCCTCCCCCTTCCTCCTCATCTCCTCTCTCCTTACTCTCCATGGAGATCCCCATCCCCGCTGGATCACCATGGAGATCGAGAGAGGGGAGAAGAAGAAGAGGGGGGGGAGAAAGAAGAGTAGGGGGTTGGAGGAAGAAGATTCGCCTCTATGACCATGGAGACCGCTGGACGGAGAAATAGTGGTTGCCATCGGAGCTCACTGTCTCAGTCACTACCCCTCTACGGATTCGTCGACGTCGACGACAACGAGGAGTTAAATTGGTTTACTACTCTGCCTCCTCCAGTCGACCGCGCCGCCGGTACTCCTCCTCACGCCTCTTGCCGCCGCGCTGCCCTAAACCCTCACCCGCTCGGCCTCCTCCCCTCCCCATCTCCCTCATCCACCACCTCACTCGATCCTTCTTTATTGCAACATCCCGATCCCCTCGCATCGCCCTCGAAATTCTCCCATCTTCGCCGAGATAGCCGGCGCTGCTCCCGTCTTCTCGGCAAGCCAGCAGCCGCCACCGCCTTTCCTCGCCTCCTCTCCCAGGCGGCTTCATAGGTACGGAGACCAGCACTGAATCTTGCAATTTTTAAATAGTACCATATATGCGCAATTATTCAGGATTATCATAGGATGCTGTACCTGTTAGTCATGGTTTTGCTGAATGCTGTATCTGCTCTGTTGGCTTATGATGCCATTTTCGTCGTTAATCTATGGATTCATTTGAAATGAGTCCCTTTTTTTTTCTGTCATAGTTACTCTGATAGACTGCCATATCAATATTTTTGTAAAATATAGTTGGCTTATGCACTGAGACATGTAGCATTCGTACTGAAGACCAGAGATCATATCATGAAATAGTGTGGTACCAAAAAACCCTAGTACCATGACATTTTTTTTTTTTGCTCTATATTTATACTATTATGCTTGACAATTTTTCAGATGCAAGTGCACTCTTTTGACTGCTTTTTTGTCTAATCAGTGCGTTTACTTCACTTCACCATAGATCCACAAAGAACGTTTGATATTCTTGTAGTGCAAATGATAGTGCATTTTTTTTATATTTATTACTGTAAGTTTATTTGCAGGTGTGATATCTGTTAATTCTTATCTTGGATTTATCATTTTTGTTATCACGTTATCTGTTTTCTTTTAAGTGATGTCTATTAACTTAGGGTGTTGTAATTAGCCAAAACAAACGGTTAATTAGTTATCTTATCATAATAGTTTGTACGTTTGATCAATTATTCAAATATTGATGTTTATTTCTATAGGTTCTCCCCCTCCACTTTAGCTCACATGGAGATCAAGAGGGTGAAGATTGCCGTTCACGTAGCGAGGATCATCTCGATGATCCTCGCCATCGGGGTAATGTGTGTCATTTATATACCGACATCTTATGTCAAGCCTCTGTCCTACAGGTTAGTGTAGAGTTTGTTCTCACTTTTCCCCGGTTGTTTTGTTCCAAGTTAATTTAGAGAGTTTGTTCAATGTTGTTGTTTACTAAAATAATTAGCTACCATGACTAATATGCTAATCGACTTTGTGTGCAGATATGTCTTAGTGGCTATGTGGTTTGAGGTGATTTGGGGTTTGCTGGAGTTGCTCCTCCAAGCAACACACCCGTTCCTTTGTGGCGTGGGACATATATCCACTACACTGCTCACCATGATGGTCATGATCAACATGATATGTTCACTGGCTCAAATAATCATATTATTATTTATACTGGAAATGGAGGGAATTAATTAATACTTTGTTTATATGGGCGGTCTTAAAAAGATGTATTATGTCGGAAATAAAATATTAAGTGACAAATTTGCTTTCCTTTTAACTCATAACTCATTCGCCCCCTCTCAAACGTCTTCCTAATTTGATTAAGTTATATTTATGGTCATGCAGGTGCTTATGTGTTGCACGTGGGGTATGGCTATTGCAGCCTTGAGCACTGCCCTATTTGCTAGACAGCACAGATTTTGCATCAGCGTGTTTAAGTGCACACGGTTCCTAGTTGGATTTGTGCTAGCGGTGTCTGTTGGATTTCTTAGCGCCGTCAAGGCATTAGGTATGCTATGGATCCTCGGATCCCAATTTCCTCGTGCCGAGTAGGAGATTAGGGTGGTATATGTATACACACAATCTCTGTACTCTCGTATGTTAAGTACATGTGTAGATCTGATTGTGTTAGAACCATGTAAACATCTATGTCTCATGCTGAGGACTAGAAAGGTCTGTCTACACATCTACGTCTCACGGCAATATGATTGGAGAAGATGTGATAGAATGACTTAATATGATATGATTGGAGATGTGTTAAAATCGCTAGTGTGCTTGTTCTTTATCTTGCTTTTAATTAAGTTATAACTAGAAGTGGCCAAGATAGGGCATTTATCAAGAGTAGGGCTGGAACATATAATTTCAATAAAATATAGTATTTGAAATTCCAGCTAAATTCTAGTGTTTTTTGAAAGAAAATTGCGACGTGTTATATATAATGGGCCAAGACTGGCAATATGGCATTCAATCAGTTGAACAAAATATTAATACACAATGTCTGCTACAGGAAAGAGTTGCTTCAGCAGTCGTGAAAATTATAGTTTTTTTTTCTTCATCAGTTCATCAAGATTCAAGAACAAGGTTCTCCAGCCTTGCCCTTTTATTCCTTCTCATTTCTCAAGATATCAAATATAACAGACATACTCCTATTAGCGTCTACCTTTACTCCCTCCGAAGAATCAGCAAGCTGCATATTTTTTAGGGGGAACTACGGCGGGTGTTTATACCAGCCTGAACTTTATTAATTGGCTAAAAACAGATTTTTACAATGAAAGATATTACAGGGTCGGCAAGCTGCATATAACGTAGCATCATATCAATCCACTGTTCAGAGTAAGCCATTAAACAGTATACAAGTCCAGTGATTACATACATATCCCTTCTTTCTATAAAGTTAGACTTAAAGCTGAAACCTCAGTGTTCCACGTCATCGCTAATTCTTAGTCGTTCGATCGGTGGATGAGATCGCATATGAACCGTTCGATCGAATGCTTCTGTCGTTGATTTGATTCACTCGCCCCGCACGGCCTATCATGGCGCCGCATCATACATCGGAGAAAATAACGTGTGCTTGGATGCCGGTTCCCTGTCCTCATTTTCTCAATCGAGTAATAGCATTTATGCGCCTTAAAACCGGCTGGCACTATCGATTGGTCTGCCATGGCTGATTTCCATATAATGCAGACCTTTAATCCTCTGTGGCACTAGAGTTCATCTTTGGCTTTTTAGCTCACGAGCTCTCCAAATCATTCTACATATTATTCTTCTTTCGAGAATCATTCTACATATTATTTAGATTTAATTCATATCAACTTATGTAACTTATGTTTATGTAAGCTTACATTGTTTAAGCTATCTTACACATTATTTTTATTTATTGTTATAATAGTAAACTTCCGTAGCAACGCGCGGGGTTTCACCTAGTATAAACAAGATACATTGCCATGAAAAAGAAGATAAAGTCTGTGCTAGACGCCCAGACAAGAAACTTGATAGTGGACAAGGAATATAAATGGTACTGTCCCAGATGTTCCTTTAATAAAGAAAAAAAAAGGAAAGGTTCTATGGTTCAGAACATGTAAGCAACACAGTTACAAAATGGAATCTAGTAAGGTATATGTTGAGTTTCCAGTCAATGGCATTGAATAATAGCACCGGACCTGCTATCTACCTCACAGACTCATGGTAGATTAATTTGGAGGGAGAAATGAATACCACGATGAAAGAAATGCACAGGTGGCTATTATGGTTTCATTGCTGTCTATTATATCCTCTATTACAAAAGCATATGGTTACTTGCCTAGTTGGCTACCTGTTCAGGACGAATATTTTCGGTTGGCCTCGCGGTTCATTTTGTATTGACAACCGCAGTCTTCCGCTGCTTTACTTCTGTATTCATGGGTCCAAATCTGGAAAGATTAAGATTTGAGTGGTTTAAGTCATTGGCCAAGCAGACGGAAAGCAAGAAAATGATGTGCTTATATAAAGATGGAGGAGCTTCATTACATAGTGCAGCATCCAGGTGAAGCCCTGAAGACATGGGGCACAGAAAGCCCAACATCGCCCCAGCGCAATGAAGCAGCCTCAGATTCAAGGCCCCCTGATTGCCCCAAATTTCTTCAGCGTTGCTGTTACGAAATCAGAGGGAGTGATTCCTTCACTTGACTGAGACCTCACAGATGTTACCAAAGTTTTTTGCAATGTCCAACAGGGCTTCCGCATCAGCTATTTGCTCCGTAGGCCTCTGCACTGCATTGTAAACCAGCAAAATATAGCATAAGCAGTTATTTGCTTTCTAGTAAGTATGCATTCTGGCATGCCACAGTGAGTCCTAACCTTTTAATATTAACATGGCAGTAAATCCAAGTTTTGACAAGAAATGCAATATTGCAAACAAACGACAAGGCGTCAGTCTTGCAAAAGAAAAGAACGGAGTAATTACATCGAAATTAACATGGAAGAACCAACGCGATTAAAATTCCATAGTCCCACTATCTACATAATTACATATTGCAATATCCAGCTCCAATGCAATACATAATGTTTTAGAGGAAGTCTCTATATATTAATGAACAGAAGAATCTTGATGTAGTTGGCAAGAAAATAAACTTGTCCACATGCTACACATAATTCCCCTAATTCCTAAGGGGCATCAAAAGTCCAAAAAAAAAATAATCAACACAAATGTATCTATTTTGCTCCATAATTTGCTGATGTATTCTGATGTTGGCAACTTGGCATAGCAATTTGAAGTAAAATATCAATAGTAAGAATGAAATGGGAACATGAATTTTGATCCTTAACCCCTTCCCTAGGCATATTTAGTTCTTGGACAAAGTTGTGTCTCAAGAATGGGGAATATGCTCCATGAAGTTTTCAAGTGAAAGCTTTTAGTTGGCGAAAATGTTATCTCAATAATCTGAACTAACCAACCAATGTTCGAAATCCTGCTGGAATTTATTGCACATACTATGCAGATCAACAACTTTTTGGTACCCATTTTTTCTAAATCTGCAAAAAGTGCTTCAGTAGCCACTTCAGCAACTAATAGTCTAAGCATGCAGTTCAAATATCACAATGTCTTTCTAATTTATCAACTCAAATGGCACACAAATTTGAAACAGCAACTCCAAGGCAAGGATGATGACGTCACACCACTTCAAAGTTGAAACTGTAACCTCAAACAGATTGAAACATGACTTCCAGAAACTACTCAGTTTGCTAAACTGCAACAAATTCCAAACTGGGCAAATCATCGGATTGGAAAAAAAAAAACGCGAACTGTGGTGATTAGGTACCATCTCAAAATCCTGACAGTAAGCTTTAGTCCTGAATTTTATACAAACTATATCATGGAATGAGTTCTAAACATATTAGATAAAAGAAAGAATCAAACACCCTGCAACAAAGTTTAGTTTAGAAATTTTCTATAGATTATAGCATGGATTGACCTCAGCCTCATGATTCTGAACAGTTTAGAATACAACCTTGGTTGAAACTGGACATAGACCAAATTGAGGTAACCAATAATATGGTAGCTTTTCCATGGTGAGCAGCTGCACAACTGGACGACTCCAAATTTTACTAGCCTTGGAAGAAAAAAAAAACCATTCACCATAACCTGCATCTCTCTAAACATTATGCTTAAGAGCTAATAAGGAAAAGAGACAACAAAATCAGGACCTCACACAAAATATACCAAAACACACCAACAGTCCAACTAATTCAGGGGACAAAACACTAAACCTCATCATTCATTCATTACGTGAATCAAACAAGGATGCGCGGCATGCTTTGCGTGCCCTACCAGTCGCCTTATAATTAACATGTTGATTTGAGCGTGTATATCGCTGGTTGACATAGAGGCTAAAAGCTAATCATTAGATATATGCAGATTGTGGACAGGATTTATCTAGCAAAATTTGACACATGCATGGTGGCAGAATAGACAGTACATAGTAATAGCGGTAGCATTACAGCAGTTATGCTAGATGAGCATTACCTGCAGTACAGATGGCTAAATGCTAAGGTGGTTATTTAGATGCCTTTGCAGCAATTACCCTTTCCCCCCTTGAATTCAGAGGATTGCATCACTTCAAGGGCCTTTTTGTTGATGTAGAAATGCAAGGCACATATTTGTCTAACTTGTACCATCTTGTTTCTATGATGAATTGCTTCCACTTATACATAGCTGTTTGAAAAGTGCTCCATAAAGACAAGTGTCAATACTGGGAGTCAATAACCTTATGGCATTGAACTACTCAACAATATTTAGATCATAAGCATCCTCCCCTCATAATGTTCTTTTGCTGAATGTGAATAAAATAAGTTCACGGCGTTATTTTTGTGGTATATGTTTAGATTGTAAGGATTAATACAGGCATACAGCAGTAGTTGATGTCAAGTAATCTGTAAAAAATTAACTGAAAGACCAAGAACAGGTACAATATCCAAATTTAAACCAATTTCAGGAAATAAATTGAACACATATATATTATGGTTATGGAAATACAAAAAGGTACCGGCCAATAAAAAAATGATTTATCCGTACTAAAAAACATAAGAGGCAGACAAACAATCTAATCTATTGTCTTAGCAATTTTCTCATAATCAGGAAATGTAAACTGAGCAATTTCCCCAACAACATAAACATGTCTGTTCAGCAAAGAAAGTTGTAATGGAGAAAACCAGGTCAGAGGGGGAGAGCTCGAGCTGCATCGCTACCTATCTCTCTTGTTCGCTCTTTCCGGCCGAGCCAAAGCCGCCATCATCGCTGTCCACCTCTGCATCGCTCGCCCTCGACGACCCCAGCCCTCCGCCGCGAGCTGCGCCACTAGGACAACTGCTCCCATCCGCAAGGCCAATGCCGAGCCACCTCCGCGAGCACGGGTGGAAGAAAGGCATCTATGTCCTGCGGCAGAGGAGCTGGTGGCGCCGAGGTGGCGGCGCAGGGGAGCTGGGGGCGGGGCGGGCCGTGGTCGCCGGCGGCGGGGCAGCTCCTCACTCCTATGTGCCAACCGGCCGCGTTGGCCCCTGTCCCAGCAGGAGAACAAGGGGGGGCTCAAATGTAAAATAGGGAGACGACTCCACGTCGGACGTCCAATATTCCACCAAATATCAGATGCCCGACTGTTTGTACGTCATCACACCACCTGCATATGCAGCATGTAAAAAAAAATCGGTCGGTCAAATGTTCCAGTTGACTAATGAGTGAAACATCAAGTTATATAGGCTGAAATAAAAAAAAATCAGTAACTGAAACATTAACTGAAACATTATGAAGATGCGCGTTGAAACATATCGCTGTCACATATGAAACAACCAGTGTTAATGGATTGAAACATATGTTTTTTTCATCAAAATATAATCATGCGATATCTTGTTGTAAAGATCTGCTTCCTCCATTTCACAATGTAAGTTATTCTAGCATTTCTCATATTCATATTGATGTTAATGAATCTAGACATATATATTCATATTGATGGTAATGATGTCTATAATATAAGTCATTCTAGCATTTTTCATATTCATATTGATGTTAATGAATCTAGACATATATATTGATATTAATGTTAATGAATCTAGATTTGTGAAACGGAGGGAGTAATTATAAAGAATACAACGGTGTGATCGGATTGTAGATTGGATAATTAGTTTAACAGAAAAATCGTTTTGAAACTAGCTAAAATGCATGCATGCATGCATGAGGTGGAGAGAGAGGACAGAGAATAGTAACAATTAGTTTTGTGAATTTTGTGAAATACGCTGAAGACACATGTTGAAACATGTCCTATTACGTATGAAACAAAAAGTGTTAATGGATTGAATCATATGATTATTTTTTATTAGAATATAATCATGCGACATCTTGTTGTAAAGATTTAATTACAACGAATATAACGGTGTGATCGAATTGTAGATTAGATAAGTAATTTGAGAGAAAATTCGTTTTAAATATCATTAAAGATGTATATTATATGGTTGGAGATAGAGATACATTTTCTTAGATAGGTGCATGTGTATCAGTTTGTCAGAGGCTGCCCGTCCAACTTTTCTCATTGGTTCGGGGGCAAAAATCACCTAATCTAAACCCTTCTCACAAAACTACCGCTCAACGTCATCAACAAATATGTAGCGTCCGATTTCCTCTCCAGATGATTCTAACCGTTCGATCATCTGATTGACTCCTCAAGAAAGTTCATTTGCAATCAGATCCTTTCACATCCCTGGCGTAGAAAAAAAAGGTTTACTCCGCCCCCAAACCGCGACGAGATTGCGGGGGCACGCCGCACGGGCACCACCTCGCCGCCCGCCACCACCGCTTCCTCACCCGCCGCAGCCACCGCCTCCACCTCCTCCTCCTCCACCACCTTCCTAGCCCTGCTGCCGCTTCTCGTACTCTCCATCCCCGTAGTCGGCATCCGTGCGGCCTCAGCACACCTCCTCCATCTCCCAGATGGCCACATGACTACACAGTGGCGCTCAGCCACGTCTCCCCTCCCCTACGGCAAGTTCAGAGAAGACGGAGCTGGGGGTAGGCCGGCAACGAGTCGCCATCTCCTCCCCACGAGCCCACGCCTCCCCGCCTCAGCCGCCGCGGCCCACCACTCCGGCTTCCACCTCAGATTGCGAATCGCAAGGTAATGAGTACTAAAACACAACTAAATGCAAATTCTTGAAGGTCTGTAAGTTGGGTTCAGAAAAGGCCATGCAAATGTGGTCAGCGGGTGCTGATATAGAGGAAATAGTTCAAGCCAGCACATGCAAACAATTTAACTTAGAAGAAGCAAATTAGGCATGCAGTGAATGAGATCTCCCATTTGCTTGACTGGTTTTCTTATAAGCTTGATTTTTCTCTCAGATACGTTGCTCATATCATGATGATTGCCATGGCAAAGTTATCTGTCTATAGTTCCATAATCAAATTTCATGCTGTAATATCTTGGAAGTGCTTAAATGACGAATTGATGTTGAGGAATTATATATCTTGGAGGTGCTTAAATCTCATCCTGGAATTATATATATCCTTAAAGTCAAATACCCATGTCAAAGTTAGTAAATGTAAACTTTCTTTTCTGAAAACACTAGAAAGTGCTGAAGGCAAATTAGGAATTAGATATCTTGATGGAGAGCACATATTGGTATTTCCCTTTGTTTTTTCAATAAAATTTTCATTGTTACCCAGCAATCATGTAAATTTGAGTTTTACTTTCAGACGAAACATCAAAATTTATAACAAGTTGAGATATTGAACATCTCAACAAGCCATATGTGATAGGTCAAGGCGTCAAGCATTATACCTTTCCCTACAATTTCTAAAAAAAAGACTTAACACAAACTTTAATTTTTAGAAATATAATACTATAATTAATTAAGGATGTCCTAAGCATTCAAAAAGGGATAAGATTAAAGCTAATTTCCATGTCACCTCAATCTATTTGGTACAAGAAAAAAATGAGCTCTACTTGATCCATCTTAATCTGGTCTCCTCAAAAATATTAAATCTAACATCCTGATCGACAAGAACATATATTAAAATTTTGGGCTTGGATTGATTCTTCTCAAAGTTGTTGTGTGTGGTATCATGTCAAGGGCTTTGTGCGATATGGTAGCTGGCAACTGAAAACTGTCAAATTAATCTATTTAGCTTAGTTCAGTGCTGCAATTGCTCATCAAAGAGACATGTAAAGTAGTAATTCCATAGAAGAAGAAAATTATAAGGGACATGTATTTTGCAGAAATTAAGCTCCATTTGCTCATCAAAGAGACATGTAAAGGAGTAATTCCATAGAAGAAGAAAATTATAAGGGACATGTATTTTGCAGAAATTAAGCTCCATTTCATGCTTACACACCATAAAGAAGTTTATGTTAGTTTTTAGTACATCTGGAGTTTACCTGAGAACAGATTGCAAAGGTTGTATATGTGATCAGTGCACTGTGGTAAGGAACAGAGTTAGGGGTGGGTGCTGTGGTTCACTGACCTTATTCAACAATTACTGGTGAACCTTGGGAATTTTCGCTAACATATATAACTGTCATGTCACTTCATTTATTTTTGAATATGGTTTGAGGAATTTCAGAAAAGTTCAATTGTTATTTTAATTTTTCCCATTGTTTTAGTGTTTATGGTTATTGTATTTTTTCCTGTTGCAACGCACAAACACTTTGTTAATCAAATATTAAGAGGAATTTGGGCATTCTTTGTTTCTTTAGCAAGGTAGATATGGCGTTGCTTGTTTGTATGCCAGCTTTGAACCCAATAAACTCCCATATGACAAAGACAAAATTATTAGTCTTGTCAAGTCTTATCCCAGTGAATTCTCAAGTATGTACATTATGAGACTTCGTTTCATTTTAATAACTTCGTTGAGGATATGCGAAGTGACAAGAGGTTCAAGGCGTAAAGATTGGTAAATTCATTTAATAACTTCACTGAGAGAGTCTTTTTTTAAGATTAGTGATTACCGATTATGTGATCGAGCGTTTCTGTGCTATGGAAAAGCGCCACAGTGATAAATGTGATTAAATTTCATCGTTTGTGCTATGTAAAACTTGATTCTAACTGTACTTTTCATAAATTAAGACCTTTGTTGTATTTATGTGCATGAAGACTTTGATTTGGCACTTGAGGCGTCAGAACACAAAGGGTAAAGATCCTCGGTTTGCCACTGGCTGGGGTGGATCTGGTGTGACGCAGATACCCCAAAGCACTGAGAAGCCATTGAGGAAGCTCACTCTTGAGGACACGCGCCCCTTTGGCTGCACTAGCACAGATTTCACAAGAACAGAGAAGAGTGAGGAGAGCAATGGAACAAGAAGCAGCAACAGCTTTGGCAGCCAAGCAAGAGGAAGTGGCGCAGCTCGGGGAGGGTATCCTCCACCACTTTGAGCAAATCCTCCATCAAGATTCCCTCATGTAATCACATTTGGTTTCTCCATTCAAATTTCTCCCTGCACGCATTTTCTTGTCCTCACTTCTTGCATTCTGCAACACAATTTTTTTTTTGAAATTCAATTTCCTGCGTAATTTGGCTGTTTTTAACTCTCTGATGAGCATTCATGCAGAGATGAAGTGGGGTTCTTGCACCCGACACAGTTCCAGTCACTAGAACACAGCCAGACTAGTAATTGGACATTTGAAGTACCTGAATGTCCTCAGAGATACCTGTGGTGCAAAGACCATAAGCTTGCCATATCCACGGAAATCTTACCTAAGCTCTACCGTGCTGCACAGCATGCATACTCCAATTCAGCAGCAGCCAAGGATGGTTCATTCATGGAAACTGATCTGATGAGGCACAGCAAGGCACTGCTCATTCTTTGCCCTGACATGCTCACCGCATGGAACTCAAGGTAATGCTGTCAACCTATCACGGTATCGCTAAAAGATTGCATCTTTCATAGCTAGAAGGATGTGACTTTGATTAAGTTGGAAATAAGGTTCATCACTGCCTGGAAGGGATTCCACGTGGTTGTTTTATGCTTCTTTTCTTTTGGCAGGAAGATAGTGCTATCAGTGAATTATGATTTCACTAAGCTCAAGGATGAGCTGCAATTGTGTGCTCTGATCCTTTCATACTCACCAAAAAACGAAAGCACCTGGAGCCATAGGTACAGCTTGTCTTTTCACTTGTCAAGTTGTCAAATTATGGAATTTGGGGAAACTCTTTCAGGTCACCTCTTAAATAATTTAGGGATTTTTTAGGAAAAAAATGGATGCCTATGACCAACAGGTATGATAATCTTGAGATATATGCCCCATGATTATTTATGAGTTCCTCTACATTTCAATACCTCCCATTCTTCCGAGGACCGCTGTAAAAAACTCGTTGGGGCTGGATTTTATTTGGGCAGCACAGAAATATTATGTTGATTTTGCCCATGCCCACACAGTTTACAGTTTAAACTTTAAATTGATTGCCTACTACAGGAGATGGGTGATCAAGAAGGTTTCAGAGCACAACCAGGATGTGTCGGAGCTTATAGAGATGGAATCTGTACTAGTGAAACAGATAGCAGAGGTCATACTTATAAATATTTACTTCTTTGGGATGTTAATAGAATTATTCCCATCTACTTTACGGAACCTTCATTTCCTAGCAGATAATTATCCGAACTCATCATATTAGCATTTCACACAGTTCCTTATTTAACTGGTTATTAAATTACTTTTTTTTGCCGGGTGGTTATTAAATTACTTTGACATTTCACACTTGTAGTGATAAACAGTGTACAACAAGATAGTTTGATCCTTTATGCAGAAATCAAAGATGAACTACCGTGCGTGGAGGCATCGCTGCTGGCTTATTCCCTACATGACAAGAGAACAGGTATGGGTAAAGGAAAATCAAGCTGCTAAAAATTCTTTGTCCACTTTTCTTAATCTTATGTGCAAACTTCTGAGCACCACCATGGTAGCTAGGTTAGGACTTTTGTTATATTGCAAAAACCCTACAAAATTTCTGCCTGTCTGTTATCAGTTCATGCTTATCCTCATCAGCATCTAATTTCTGTTAAAGGTTCTGAATGAGTTAAAGAAATCAACAAGATGGAACGAGTTACATGTCGCTGACAACTGTTGTTTTCACTACCGACGGGTTAGTCCCTGCCCTTATTTGTGTAGCTAGTACTAATTACTACTTCCAAAGCAAACTTGTATCCCACTCAACATTTGCATATTGAACAACCTGTGGCATATCGTTTGAGCTGTCTCAAACATGTCATTTTATTGATTGTTTGCAGTCCCTACTGCTTGCATTACTAGACAGTTGCCATGTAGAGGACACAGAAGATTCCCTTGATAGGAAGTCAGAAGTTCATTTACTGTGGAAGGTATGTTGTATTTCATTAAAATCTATACCTGCTTCACTATGGTTCCCCTTGTGCCATCTTTCCCTCTGTTTTTCATTGTACATCTGTTACAAAGGAAAAACTCGCCTGTGCATTTCATTTTATTTGAGAAACACAAATTACTCTGGTGCTTGAGTAATTGCATCTGACAGGAGGAACTGACGTGGAATGAGAAACTTATCAGGCGCTACCAAGGGAGAGAGGTTTGAAGTTTGCCCATCATGATTGTGACATTTTTATGTTAGTGCCATAATTTCTAGTGAATGTTGTTCCCCTATGTTGATTGTGCTAGTGTGTTGGTGTAGTCTTTGTGGATCCATCGTAGGTTCCTCTCACAATGGTGGATGAAGTTCTTGCTCAGCAGTGAGGAAACAGAGTGTGCTGCAGGCACATCGCTGGTGGATCTCTTCCTAGTCCAGGAGATATACCTCCTGTCAGACTGCCTGAATGCCCCTGCCGATGAATTTGGTGAGGCATGTGTCCAATCTGAACTTGCAGCCCTCTACATTCTCTGGATATCAAAGGTAACCCCATATAAACGTTTGAAACTAAAAACAAGTGATATATCCTCCTCTTCACGAATGATCAACATTTGAAAAAAAAAAAAACTAAGCATGGGCATGTTGTTACTTGCAGCAAGTTCCGGCTGTGAAACTAAAGCTGGAAGAAAGGCTACATTCGTTGGGGAGCCTGGAGGATGTGTTAGCAAGGGCCTGCCCGGAGAGAAGTAGATTGTGGACGCATTTGATAGCTTGACTATTGAAAGCAGAACAAGGACATGCATTGTAGCAATATGTGGTACTCATATCCAACGGAAAACGACGCTTGGAATACAACCATTTCTGAGGCGACTAGACATTTTGCACGACTCCTAAAAAATAACTCATCTTAGGATCCTATATGATAGCAGATGCCTGCACACTATTCCTGTGAATCCTGTGGCGTGGCTGTCGCTAGTGAAAAAGCTCACAAACCACATAGAGTGCATACTTCTAAATATATGAAGTTAGTTAAAAATACAGAGGGAGTAGTTGAATCCGCCAACAAAGCGCAATTCCTGTCTCCATTAACATGAACCACAGAATGGTTATCTGAGCATCCCAGCAGCTCATCTAAATTTCATCCTTCGTACTCCCATTTAGATAGTCATCCAAAAAGATTTCTACTCCATATTACTTTTCACTTAACAGATCATCCATATTACATCCTTTATATACCAACATCATATATTTTACTAATATTTTACAACTACCACTTATTTATCACCACTCTAAAAAAAAAAAATCTTCCCACCTTTATCTCTTCTCTACCGCCGGTGCCGAGAGGACGGGGAGGACGAGGGCTGATCGGAGGGGCGACGCAGTCGGAAGAGCGGCTGGGCGAGGGGCGGTGCGATCGAAGGAGTGGTACGAGTGGCGCAAGGGGCGGAGGAGCGGCGCAAGTGGCCGACGGCGGGAGGCAGCCGGCGGGTGCGGAAGCGGCAGCGGCGGCCGACGAGCGCGGAGGAGGCAGGCGGCGGCCGACGGACACGGATGCAAGCGGCGACGCTATCCTTCTGGTATACCTATCTCTCTCCACCCTCCTCCCGACGAGTCCATCTCTCTCCTTCTCCCACCGATGGTCCGCTGCCACCACCACCCAGTCTTTGCGAGGAGTCGATTCGGATGGGGCAAGGCCGACCTGCGACGACGGCGGTGGACGGGGAATTGATCCGGATGGGGGCACAAATTTGGTCTGGGTGCTGGCAGTTGCAGGATAGCGTGAGGAGAGAGGAATGCCAAATTTAGCATTTTTTTCTCTCGGATAGATGATGCGTTAAATTTGGAGGGTGGGATAGGGTATCTACTGGAGGGCGTTTTTCTTCTGCTAGCCGCTATTTTCTCGATGGATGTTCGGATGGCATATTTGCTGGGATGCTCATCTATCTAGAAGCTTAGCTTACACTTTGCCTAGCTTATTTTGTACTATAGGCTAGCAACCTATGGCTGGAGGCTGGTCAAATAACTCCTACTGCCTTTTGTTGGCACATATTGGAAACGACTATTCACCTACCAATGGAATATATATACACAAGAATAATATATGAAACATGTTGACAATCTGGGTAGCACGCGAGCAGCTTAGCTTGGTGATGTGTCCCACATCTACTTCAATCCACGAATTCCAAAACTTGGACCCTAGCAAGAGTGAAACGATGATAAGAACTCATCTTATATAGCCTTCTTTTCTATTACAGTTTTACCTTTATACTTGTACAATTACAAATGATTTTTTCCCCTACAATATTCAATGAAATTTACACGGTCTAGCTCCGATTCTTTAAAATAGAAGTATAAGTAGCAGGATAAGTAAAGTAGACACGTAGCATTGGAAGAAAGAGGAAACTGCATGTCTATCTCTTAAGAAGCAAATTCACCGGAACTATAGAAGAAAGAATGTACAGGAAGGTACGGTACAGCCACAACAGCAGTAGATGCGAAACCACTGTGGTTGCCATCATTGTTGTTATTGGTCACCATGCCTTGGAACGTTGTTGTTCGCCATGGGCATTGGGCAACGTGGTCGTTCCCGTAGATCAGTGAGCAGTCGTGGAGTAGTCGTTCACGTAGAACAGCGAGCAGTCGAGTATATTGCGCTCCAAAAACTCGATTCGCACTTTCTCTCGGTGCAAGATCGGGGAGGCAAATGTTTCGAAGGCTTCTCTCCTAGTGTTCGTGCGCGTAGACACCGAGAAGGGAAGACCCTAGTCCGTATAAGCAATAGTACGTGTGTTCTCTTGAGATGAGATCTCAATTGTGAAAAATCCTTCAGTTTTTATTGGGTTACTCGTGAAGATGAAGAGAATTTGTCAGGAAGAGCTTGGCAACGATTACTTGCACCGTGTCTCAGTTGTTCTGTCGCCACACACATTTCTTTGTTTTCTGTTTGTGTGGATTTGCGGGTTAGGTTGTAAGGTTTTTAAGCCCAATTTCACTTATAAAGTGGGTCAATTCTCTTTCTTAATATATCCGGCAGAACTCATATGAATAGTGGAAAAAAAGTTGCTAGAAAAAGAATTACTAGCAATCGAGATTAGAATAACAACCACCTGTTTTACTTCCATAGTTCCATTTACTTCTATATTGGAGCAACAGACGAAGGCAAAAGGCTTTGCGTCAAAACAAATCGTGCAGTGTAAACCTCTTTTTTTTTTAGTTCAACAGCAAGTGCAACATAAATGGAAGATTATGTCAACAACAGTCATGCACTGTACTCCCTCTATCCCATAAAAAATAAATATAAGACTGTATACGACATATTCTAGATATATTCTAGTACGATGAATTTGGATAGATTCGTACTAGGGCCTTGTTTAGTTGGGAAAAAAATCTTGGGTTTGGTTGTCACATCGGATATACGGATACACATTTGAAGTATTAAACGTAGTCTAATAACAAAACAAATTACAGATTCCACTAGAAAACTGCGAGTTGAATTTATTAAGCCTAATTAATCTGCCATTAGCAAATATTTACTGTAGCACCACATTGTCAAATCATGGCGCGATTAGACTTAAAAGATCTGTCTCGCAATTTACATGTAATCTATGTAATTGCTTTTTTTTTCCTACATTTAATACTCTACGTATATGTCCAAACATTCGATGTGACAGCGTGAAAATTTTTATTTTGAGAACTAAACATGACCTATGTTAATTTTTTTTTATTTTGAGAACTAAATATGACCTATGTTAATGTTTTTTGGGACGGAGGGAGTAAATGGCAAAACCGAAGATAGGCTGACCATGCTAGCGAGAAGGATGTATGCGTGTGGTAAATGTGGTTTCTCTTTTGTCTGTGCAATTCCACAATTAAGGGCATGTTAAATGGTAGAGACGGGTATGGTCTCTTAAACAATATAAGATTATTTAGAGACAATGTCTTTACAATAGTTGAGACGACGAAGGCTCTAATCATTAACTCAAAAAATATTCTTTTTGTTAATATTCTTTCTATTTTTTTACTCTCATGCAACCATATTTCTATATTATAGTGATTAAGAGTCATTGTTAAGCCGTTGTTATGCATAACAACGATGTTTGTCTCTCCCTTTTTCTCTTTCTTCCATGTCAATAAGTATTCCTAATTAACAATGCTAAAAAACCACTAATGATAACCATTGTACATACCCTAAGTCGGTTCATCTCTCTATGTGGACTAAACACACGTGACTTAAATTGGGGGAGGACTTAAGTTTCATGTGTATCCTGATTTACCAATTGCTCTGGTACCTTTTTATGCATTTCTTTTGTTAATAAGATTGTTTTATTTTTGTAAGTTTTATGATGTATAAAATTTGTTCGACAGATTATATTTTTCCGATATAGATAGATTCTAAATTTTGGTTGTGATTATGCTCTTAAAAGATATAATCATGTTTTACATTACCAAAATATTACCATTGCATTAGTACGAGCATATTACTACTAGTTTATTTAATTTAATTTAGTGGGCCAAATGCCCAATTAAACCTAACACTTATGCGGCTTGCTGTAGCACACGAGAATTGCTCCCGTTCGAGCGCCGGGTACAGATAAGAAAACAAACAGGTGCTCTGTTGCGTGAGTAGCTAATTCTCTCTCTAGAAATGCACCTTTGCAGGCCCTCGTAAGATAATATTCATAATCTAGTTTATATCGAATTATGAAAAGAGCTACAAAGATTACAGTAGAGAAGAATAGAACCGACGAGTACCGATTAGACTGTTCTCAAGATCGACTTGACGAGATCAATTGGCGAGCTGGCTTATAGTCGATTTGATGGTCCCGTACCCCCTAGGGCCTTGTATTTATACCCCTGAATACCTTGGCTTCCAAGTAGAACTCAGAGAATATCTTACACATACGAATCATAAATCCGCATCCCCTCCAAATAGGATTCTAACACCTTTTATTTGGGGAGTTGGTTTCTTTATACATCAGCCTAATTCCTTAAGACTAAGGTAACCTTCTTGTATACTTGGGTATACCATATTCGTATGCTGCCTAACCCCAAGGATAGAAGGTATGCCTCATCCGTAACCCTGACAACATGCATGCATGTATTTGTTTTTAGCAATTTTGAAATGTTTTTTCTCCTTAAACTACTTAGCCGATCCAAGATTCAATCATGCCATTATATTCATCGCAATTAAATCTTTACAATAAGATCTTACGTGATTATATTTATGATAAAAAGATATGTGTATCAACTAGGGGTGGATAACGAGCCGGCTCGGCTCGGCTTGGCTCGGTCAAGCTCGTTAGGATAACGAGCTAGCTCGGCTCGGTTTGTTATCGTAACGAGCTAGAAACCCAGCTCGACTCGGCTCGTTTGAAAGCTCGAGCTAGCTCGTTAGGCTCGCGAGCCAACCCATCCAAACCATCCAGCCGGCAACAGAAGAGGAGGGACCTAGCGGCTGGCGAGGGAGGAGTTGGGCCGGGTTGATGTGGAGGTCCTTGGAGGCGACGCCGCCGCCGACGACGATGACGATGGCGATGGAGATCCACACGACGACGATGGCACGGCGCGGGCAGATGTGCAGGCGCGGCGACAGGGTGAGGAGGAAGATGTTGATGGAGAGGGAGGAGTTGGGGTGCGGCGGCGGAGTGGAGAGGTCCTTGGAGGCGACGCCGTCCGCCGTGGAGAAGGCCGGGTTCGACGGCGCTGTGGCCTGCGCCTTCTTGCGGCTGGGGAAGTGGTGGCGGCGGCTGGCGCTTGGCAGTGGCGAATGGCGGCGGCGCTTGGTGGTGGCGGCTGGCAGCGGGGAGGATGAGAACGAGAGAAGGGGATGGAGTTGACGCGGTGACGCCAGATCGGGATCTGGGGAGAGAATAGGTCAAGGTCACTATGGTTTTTTGGCTGCCGAGTTGGGCTGTTGGGCCTCCAATCTCTGCCAAAATCCAATTCCAAATGCCCACAGCTCATGTGCCTTGGCTCGTTAAGGCTCGCGAGCGGCTCAGGAGCCAGCTCGAGCTGGCTCGTTACCTCTAACGAGCTAAAATGCCAGCTCGGCTCGTTAGGAAAATCAAACGAGCCGAGCCGAGCCGAGCTTGTCACAAGCCGAGCGAGCTAACGAGCTACGAGCTTCCTGTCCACCCCTAGTATCAACCATTCAAATTTCATGTTTTAACTTATGAAAAACAATGTTTCAACTCAAATTTGAACATTTTGCACATTTTAAATTTTATTTTTATAATTTTTTCGATTAAATTTCATAAAACTACGTATACTTTACACAATCTATCACAAAACTACATATTTAAGAATTTGTTTCACAAAACTACTGATTCAGTGTCTTCTTTTATCACAAAACTACATGTACTTTGCACAATATATCACAAAACTACATGTTTAGTGACTTCATTATCACAAAACTACAAGTTTTAGCATTGTTAAAACCTGTAGTTTTGTGCTAATGGATACACTAAATCTGTAGTTTTGTGATAAATGACGACGCTAAATGTGTAGTTTTGTGATAAACGAATACACTAAATCTATAGTTTTGTGAAACAAGTTCTTAAATCTGTAGTTTTGTGATAGATTGTACAAAGTACCTGTAATTTTGTGATAAACGGATACAATAAATCTATAGTTTTGTGAGACATGCTCTTAAATTTGTAGTTTTGTGATAAATTGTGAAAAAAAATCTATAGTTTTGTGAAATGTACTATTTTTTATGTATTTAGTCGATAGACGAACTTTTTTTGTAGTGCTTGGTATTGCAATCAATACTTTTTAATTTTGCATCTTTTTTAATCATTTTCATAAGTAAGCTAAAACAT